TTCTGATGTATATTTTATGTGCACTTTTCTATATTCTGCTTAAAGGGTCTCATTGGAAGGAATGCAGAAAGGCGGAAAAGGTACATGTACATAAAATAATATTTTATAAGATATTTGATAATTCAAAAATTCTATAAAACCATAGCCTGATTAATGTTTGCCATGACATCAAGCTAGCGAATTAAATGTAAATACTGAATTATTTGAGTGAAATAGGATCATTTTTCTATTCTTATATGTTGGGATAGCATGTAAAATAACTGATAGGTCAAAGTCATGTGAAATAAAACGAAACCATACACAGACAGGGGTTCTTACAATATAAGGTCGTATTTTGGCGCCTGCAATTTCAGTATAATTACTAAACTTTAGATAAAGACTCACTGCATTTTTGATTTTAAGTTCTAATCTATACCAAAATGAAAAAGTAGTGCGTTTGTATTTTCCAAATGAAGGCCTTTTTTCTTTAAAATGTATTATCTTTCAAGATACAAATTAAATTTAGGACGGTTCCGGTGTTCGTCTATGAATATATGAATTACAGAAATCATGTAACAATCGTAATATTGAATCATTTGAAAACTATCTTAATTTACAATAGAACACTGAGCACCGAATAACTTTTAGTTACATGTTTGATAAATTTTGACACCAATGTTGAATATTTTAGAAGTGCATGTATTTACTTTATTTATTTTATTATCACATTTCATTGTGTAATAGCCATGTGAATGAGACAAGTACGCGGGAACATTTTAAACACCTCGCTAGTTATCCTTTTGCAGATATCCTGCTTTTTAAAAAATTCTATTGACGTTACCGTTGCATTTTGTAAACAATTTGATTAAAACATTATTTTGTAGGTAGGAAAGATGGCTGAAGGTGTGACTGCTCCAAAATTTATAAGATTGCAGAGCGTTACTGACAGCGAAAGAAAATACACGAAAGTGGATAAACGTTTCATGTACTTATGGCTAATAGAGTTACTTCTCAGAAGCTTCGGATCTGTAAGATTCGTTATGGCTACAATCAAAAGGCATACTGGACATGCGTACACAGCTTATGACAAAGCAGATACAATTCTTTTTCATTTTCAGAATTTTGGAGATAGTGCTCAAGCTTTGTGTTCGTTCATAATATTTTGTGTTTTTTCTGCTAGAACTCGAGAGCTTATCAGAGTGAAATGGTTTGGAGGTGGTAAGCGTGACGATGAAAGGTTATCATTATTGTCGAGTGTCAGCTACAGATATGATTAATAAATCAATTGGTACAAATGTAAATTACCATCATGTTATGAGGGTTCCTTCTTTTCTGTATTTCAAAAAATAAAATTAAAAAGTTCTTATATGGGTTAATTAGTACAAATAACAAATTTGACACAATATCTATAAAATCTTCGAAACCTTGTGAGAAAGGATACACTTGTAAGGATTATCATCCAAACGGCATCAAACATTGGCTCCGTTATTATACAAAACGTCGACGGTTTGACACTTCTGATAGTTCTAAAAAACGATCTAAATTGTCATGCTACCAAGCTTTAAAATATACACATACGATTTATTGTTAAGACATATTTGCTGAAAGAAATTGTTTTTGAGAATCGCTTCCCAAGAACATGTATCCACTATAGTAAGAGCACATATAAGCTTGAATTGACTGATGTCAAAAGTTTTAACTAGTCATCGAGAATTCATTTTGGTCAGTATTGTAATAGTCATTAATATGCATTTAATTCTGTTTGCCACTAGACATTTAGCAGAAAACAATCAATATACCAGTAGTGTTAAAACTGGCCATATATTGTACGTTAATTTACTGATCTGCTTTAACATCAGAAATATGACGCAATCGCAAATGGCCACGTAAATATGACCCCCTTACCCTATAAAATTGTAATATTTGTTATTTTTAATGTTTATTGTAATGTACATGCAAATAAATGAAAACTGTAAAAAAAAAAAAAATGAATCAGCCAAAATACCGGACAGTGTATCAGACCACATCAACCAAAACATCCGACTCCTTCGAGAAAATAACCGACAAAACAAACAAATTAGTTTTCGTGATTCGATCTTGTCCTTTGTTGCTAAATATCATATTTTTTTTTCGTTTATTGTTTTTTACATACATCAAACCGTTAGTTTTTTCATTTGAATTATTTTGCATTTGTCATTTCGTGGCCTTTTATAGCTTACTATGCGATATAGGTTTTGCTCATTGTTGAAGTTTTTTTTTGTGGAGAGTTGTTTCATTGGCAATCATACTACATCTTCTTATTTTTATAAAACCAAACAACAACAAACAGCAATACGTCAAGATATTAAATTGTTTATTACATCGCGATGACCTTGAGGTCATGCCGATGTATTGCTATCGCCTAGATTTCCATTATGTAAATTAGTTTTGGGTTTGTAACCGATCTATAAACATGATAAATATGCGCACATAAACGAATGCAAAATAACATTCCTTATCGTTTGATATAAATACATCTCTTCAATGAATACTGATAAAAATATTTTTGTTTACAACATAAATTAATAATATGAAAATGTTTTGTAGTTAGATATATATATATAAGTAAAAAATCATTGATAATATCAATGCACACGTACCGAAAAATTGTGTTAAAGCATGCGGAAGAATATCTCAAAGAACGTTTTGAAGGACCGGTAACTCTGTAATTGTTTTTGCGGGAAAATATGAATGCCTACTCGTATCCAATCTTAGAAAAATCGAATTTTTACAGAAAAGTGTCCACCATGCACTTGCATTGCACTATTATTAGAATAGTAGAATAGAATGATATACAAATGGATGCAAATCATATATGTATGTAACTGTTATTTTAATATAATATATAACAACAAATCAGTGTATACTGATTTGTATCACTACAATATAATACATGTAGTTATTACGGTGAAGTTGAATTTCCTGTCATTTATTCATCATCCACGCATGAACTTGTCTCAGAAAAAAATATATATCTGTACATTAACCTCAGTTTCAGGTAAAGAGATATGTTGTTGTTTTTTCTGAGACAAGTGCTTTTGACCATCCTCAAGAACTTGTGGTCATCCGATGTTCAGTACTTCAGTACTTTGATTTATAATGTTACAGTGTTGATTCTCTTCTTTGACTGTTCATATTCTTGTTCGTTTTTGACCAAAAAGTATTTCTTCTGCATTTATGCTGTTGGTTCGAATCCTTGAACCTTCTTTGTCATTTGTCATGTGTCCTTACAATGTATAACTGCCTAAAAGTTTAAATATTGCAATACAACATTGATTGACGATATATGTTGACAAACGGAAATTTAAAAAAATTATATTTTTAAACCATGTTATTAATAAACATAATCAATTGATTTTTGAATTCTCTCAAATGGAGAAATTAAGCTTCTTTATTTACTGTAACACGTAAATCAAATATATTAGGTTTAACCAATTTCGGTTTAGTTGTCTTGTACAGTCATATTATGTAGTCAGGGTATTCAATTAGTATACATTGCACATATATGTTAAAAAAAATACGAAGATGCAGCATGAATGCAAATTGAATGACTATCCACCAAAGACCAAAAGAACAAGAATGTGAACCAACTACAACTTTACAAAAAAACAACAAATGTTCCAAACAACAGCGCACCACAACGCAACTAAAATTTAACGAAAACGTAAAAAAAAAACTTTTAGTTCGTTATCAATAGTACGTTAATAATATAATTTTGAATTGGACTTGCAAACATATAATTATATATAACATTTAATATAGAAAACAACTCAGTATACTTTCTAAATCTATTGAAAACTGTGAACGATAATGTACCAAAACCGAATAGATTTCTTTATTAGTTGTTATTGGCTTAGAACTAGCTTCCAGTAACTACAAGTACTCTCCGATCTGTACGTTGTGTCTTATGTGTTTGTATTAGTTTTTTTTTGTGCTGTATATCGATCTGATGAGTTAAGCCCTTTACACTTGATTTTCATAGGCTGTTCCTATGGTACTGTTACACCAATGTCTCATATAAGGGGGAAAATTTGGCATCAGCAAACATGTTTAACCCCGCCACATTTTGTGTGTACAGGTCGCAAATCAGGAGCCTGTAATTCGATCAGAAGCTGTCCTTTGTTTCTGTATATCATATTTGTTTTGTACATAAATCAGGCCGTTAGTTCTTTCGTTTGAATTGTTTTACAGTTGTCATTTCGGGCCCTTTTATAGCTTACTATGCGGTATAGGTTTTGCTCATTGTTGAAGGCCGTACAATGACCTTTAACGTCATTTGGCCTCTATTAGAGAGTTGTCTTATTGGCTATCATATCACATCTTCATATTTTTATACTAATAGAAATACAGCAAACGGAAGAACTTTCATCTCTTTGATATGATTCAAATATTGAACTATTTAAGTAAGAGACAACTGTCATTATTATGAAACTAAGGAAATCTGGTATGATTTCCGATGAGACAACTATCGATCAGAGTCCAAATATGTAAGCAACGGTTTGTCTCCTTAAGGTCTTCAACTATGAGCGAAACCCATACCGTATAATCAGCTTTTCGTGATATCATCCATTCAAATAGAATCCATCGATGCTCCTTCTGTATTTTTACAGTCAATGATCTAGTGAATGCAACCTGTCATTTCTATAAATAATTTTGAATCATCTTTTCCTATATTTTGAACTGAAATTTATGACGTACATAGTATGATATAGATGAATGTGACCTTTTGGTTATTTTGGGTCACGAGATATTTGTAAACAAACATCGGAAATTTATCTATTTTTTAATACTCCCACTTACTTAAAACAATAAATTAACAATACGGAATAGCTTAAAGTCGGCGTAGCATGATATATATACATGTATATATATATATACATAGCGCGTTAAATTACATGTAATATGCATGCAGTTTATACATGTACTTTTGTCATTCACATACATGTACACCGGGATACTGATAAATAAGTGTGTTGAGAAAAAAATATAAATTTGGTGAGTAAGATATTTTATTAACCGGAAAACCTTGTTCTTTCTAAAAATATGATTTACTAGGTAAGTTATCAATTAAAATAACTGTAATCAAAACCACGTGCTACACATGAACAGTCTGATAATTTAGAACTAAAGAGATAAGAAGCATATTCGGCCTATTCTATAAGTAAATACAAGATGGGGAATAACACTGATCCAGGAGAATATATTGACAAAATCAATATGTCAGACATTGTATTGACTCTGACAGGAGCATCGTTGTCGATTGTTGGAGCGTTTGTGTTATTTTTTGCTCATTATCTAAGACACAAAAGTGGAAAACCAGTGGACGAAGTTCGACAATTCTTAATATTTCTTACAATTGCTGATATGTTTAATGCTATAGGACTTTTATCGGGAGTAGCGCGTTTTCTAAATTCTGAGGATTTTACGGAGGACAAAGTGGCTGCTTGCCATCGGCATGAAGAGTTTGGCTGTATTGTACAAAGTTATGTGACAGCACTGTTTAGTATGAGCTCGTTTTTCTGGACAACTATTATAGCCTTTCATTTGTTTTGGACAAACGAGGATAATTCTCCCAGCAGTTTCAAAAAGACAATTTTGTATCACTTTATTACCTGGGGAATCCCTTGTAAGTACAATAAGACTATTTTGTATCACTTTATTACCTGGGGTATCCCTTGTAAGTACAATAAGACTATTTTGCATCACTTTATTACCTGGGGTATCCCTTGTAAGTACAATAAGACTATTTTGTATCACTTTATTACCTGGGGAATCCCTTGTAAGTACAATAAGACTATTTTGGTGTCATTTTGTTGCAATGTAGCTGGGTGATTCCCTGTATATACACACACGAGCATCATTGTGGTGTTGTACATTGTAATGTACACGCCAGACTTAGCAAACAATACAGTCATTACTTTAAGAGTTTGTTTGTTTGATCGATAGTTTTTAATGCCACAGCTGTATACAGTTTTTATAATTTCAAGCCAGGCATGCATGCATTGGTGAACTCCTTCTGAAAACTATTGCCTAACGGAAATGGCTGTGTAGTGAAAGTCATCCAAAAGAAAAAAAATTCAAGGAGTTTCTTTCGGGTTAACTGAATTAGAATTCTTGACCTATAGACCTTGAATAATCGTCCTAATTAGTGATAACGCATTGATATTGCATTAGTCAGTTTCATGGTACATGTAAACATTTCAAACCCCTTTTCTTATGTCTGAAATGCATTGTTTGTCCCTTATTCTATGCATTGTTTTTCCCTTATTCTATGCATTGTTGGTCCCTTATTCTATGCATAAAACAGGTATATTTCACAACGCAGGTCAAACATAAGAAAAGGGTTTGAATGTTTACATGTACGATGAAATTGACGAATGGACATATCAATTAATACAAAATAAACGGATAAAATAACGTGAAGCACATAAATACACTGGATCAATATACAATGCAAATACATGTAAAACTTAGGTTCATTTTAATCATTTGTTCTTTCAGTTGCTATAACAACAGCGGCTGTGAGCAAGAACGTGTTGGGATCAGACCTGTCTGCTGGTTCCGGGGCCTGGTGCTGGATATCAGCATGTTTACCTCACTACGATAGAACTTTATGGATGACCATTTCAGGGAAAGGATGGGAAATTCTAATGTATTTCTCTTGTTGTGCGTTTTACTTGTTGATAAAATGGCGCAAAATCCAAATACGACGACATCGAACGAAGGTTGGTTTTCGGTTATTCAATTATAAAGTTAACTTTTGTCTTTTAAATTAGTCGTTTTTCACTTTTTCCCATGACATTGTCAGTTTGTTTTCGACTTATGAGTTTGAATATCTCATTGGTACTTTCGCGTTTCTTTTTAAATTATTATATCTTTAGATCGCGCTTGAATACACATTTGAAAATTTACTTTCGAATTTTTTTTAATAATGACTTTTTTTGTATTAAAAAAAAACTAGTCTAAAATATCTTTTTTTTCTTGGCTATTGTAAATACGGTTGAATTGAACGATTTTTTTTATTTTTTTCCGTATTTTATTGTTTTTTTAATCCTTCCATCATTTCCAGACAACATCAAATCTTTCAACCCGTATCTTTGGATTGATCGAGGAGAAATCCATAACCACTTGCACAAGAACAAAATTTATATGGTATATCCGAACGCAGCGTAGTTTCATTCTCATTACGAGATCCTCTTTTTCATTTAATTCAGACATAAATCTGTGACTTTAATATAAGTTCCACAAAAGGAGGAAAATAGTATGATATGAACATTAATATTGTTATGATGCTAGGTCCGTTTGAACTTTCTGAGCTATACTTCTCTGACGAGTTGACAAAATTTCTGCAATAAAATGTTAAATTATGGAGCAGCCAATTCGTAGATGTTAAGGCACCGACCATTCATCTATTAATTATCGGGGCATGGGTGTTTTTCTTTTTGGAAAAACACTTTAATAAAAACAAACCATTTGTTTTTTAATCACATACAGGAACGAGATTTTTATTAACTCAATGTTGAAACCGTTTTCCAAAATTTCAATGATAAAAACTGTTCTGGTTACTTATTTTCAAAAACAAATTATTTTTATTTCAAAACAATTTTTCTAAAAAAAAACATACCCCCACAAAAGATAAAAAGTCGGTGCCTTATAAGCAAAACGAAATTTCTTTCGATATGATTTCTTATAGCCATCAATCGATATGATTTCTTATAGCCATCAATCGATATGATTTCTTATAGCCATCAATCGATTTATTTTCTTTTTCGAACTCTTTCACACACTTTTCTCTGACATTTTTTTAATCTATTTTGTTTTACAAGTTATCAAATTTTACATCATGTGGTAACAAACACCTTCTTGTTTTATCTCTTTTCCTGGTAATTTAAAACCTTAATCTGGGAAAACTCGATTTATTTTTATTACATGTATTTGTTATTGGCTTTGAACTAGCTATCTAATCTTAATTGACTAGGATTGTCAGTTTTCCTACCGAAGGTCGGTGGTTCTCTCCGGCATTCCGGCTTCCTCCGCCAATTAAAACTGACTGTCACGAAATAGTACAATAGTGCCGAAAGGAGCATTAAACACCAACTAATCAATTAATCAATCAATCTAATTTCATACTGATTAATAAATTTCTAAAGGGTTGCTCAGGATCATGACGGTCCTCGTTACACTGGAGGGAGAGCCGAGAGTGGGAGGGAGGGGGGGGGGCAATTATCTGTTTGACTATGTTTTCGCCCGCTCCTTTGATCTTTTTATGTAATATCTTTTTGCATGGAAGTTACCCGCTGTGTTTCAAAGGTACAAAAAAAAGCCAAACGATAGGTTTTTCTTACGCATACACATGCACCAGTAACTTGCACTCATTGACTGTTATATTCTACTAAAACAAATAATTACAATTGATATCGAACGATATGCCGTTCTTACGTTTTTCCGTAAATGCCAGTTACTTGCACTCATTGACTTTTAGGTTCTACTAAAAAAAACAAAAAAAAATTTAAATTCAATTGTTGTTTCCTTATTTGTATATATATGATATTTAAGATGATGATATTATGACATGATCCAGGATGCACTTTATTTTTTCATTATTGATTATTTTATGCTAATTACGTCACGCATATTTAAATGATTTATATGACAATACAAGTTTTGATTAATTTGAAATTAAATTGAATTAAAACCATCGCAGTTATTAAGTTATATGGTTAAAATAATTTATCAGTTTTGCACCGAATTTAAAAATACTAGTGACTAGTGGAACGTTCATTTTTCCACTTTCGGAATTTTTTTCCATTAATGCTCTTCAACTTTTTACTTAATTTGGCCTTTCAACTTCGTTTATTCGAGCATCACTGGTGAGTCTTTAAAATCATACGCCTGGTATCTTTGATGAGTTTTTTTTTTATTTTAAGATAACACTCAACAAAATTATAGATTGTTCTATACTTGACCACTGGATTACCGATCAACACGTCAGAATTGTCTTTAATTAAACTCGTATGATTGACCACACGATAATTTCCTGCCAAAAACTTAAACGAAATTCAATTGTCAAAGTCCTACATGTATTTACTAAATGATATCTGTCAATCAACCACTGCCATCAATCAACCATATATTCACCCTTATCATGTACTTAGAGCAAATAATTTTCTCCAGAAAGATAATAGCATTAAATTTACGTAAATTCCATATTTTCCGTAATGGTGCTTAGTGGGCTGAAACGAAAACTATATCAATTAACTGCTTCCGGTTTTTTCGCATGCCTTTCCGTAACATTATCGCATCGGCGTCACTCGGCAAATTCAGAAAAATACACCTCAATGGTACGTTTTCAGTCGGCTCTTGGGTTGATATTGAACCTTGGGCTGATAATACATCTGATATGAACAATGCCATGTGATATTATCGAATAGGTAGAGAGGCAACACAATCACTTAATTTTTAAAGTGTTGTACGGAAATCTAACAATGTCAACTGTTGTATGCATATTCAGAAAGAACATTATATTATAACTTTACGAAACCACAGTAGCTTGTCTACAGGTCAGGTATACAACCCGTTGCCGTGAACATGCATTTATTGAAACATCCAGCCGCCCCCTACAACTACCCAACACTAAGGTGACTATCTAGATGTTTGGCTCGACAAACAATTTGTAATTGAAATAATAAATATTGATATTTTTGACTGATGGAAAATGGTTTAAAATTTGTTACGCGTATATGTTTCGAACATCGACAATAAAGAATGGCTTAATCCTGCTCTTTCATAAGACCTTTTAATATATACGTTTCATGTATTGCTCAATTATATAATTATATATACAAATATACCCTGCAATTTATCTATACAATCAAAGTATACATTTTATTCTTTTTAGGTGAATATTGGTTTATCGCCAAGACAAACAGCAGTTCAGTCAGTTGAAGAAACAAAACCTCACGAAGATCTACGGTTTCTGCTTCTCTGGTTAATTGAAGTTGCTCTCCGAATATTTGGTACAGTACGCTACCTAACTGCAGCAGTAAGGAGACATACAACCAAAGAATTAAAGAGTTACAATTCAGTAGATCACGTGTTTTTACACTTTCAGAGTTTTGGTGACAGTGCGCAAGCCCTGTGTTCTTGTTTATTGTTCTGTATTTTTGACAACGAAATGCGTAATTTGTTAAAAGATAAATTGTGTTGTAGTCAGAAACGATCTGAGAAAAGACCATTGTTAACAAGACAAACGACAACTTGTTAAGACTCATAAGCAATTCAAGCCACTCGTGACAATATATATTTTTGTTTGAATAAAAAAATTTGACACAATATTGGTCAACTGCTTTGTCACATTACTGATAATCAAAAACTGCCCCGCAAAAGTATGGATAAAAACTAAGCACACTTACACCACTCATACTCATAGATTGAAGGCGTGCATCATCTTTTTGAAAATAATTCACACGTTAACGAGTGAAAAACTGTATAGCTAATCAGGGTTACCTTTGAGGGTTTAGAAGGGGATACACAGTTCTAATCTGCAACTGATCCAATAAGACATAATAGAACCAACTAAATAGAGATGCATATTTTTAATTTTCTTTATGTGTATTAATTGTAAAGAATGATGGGTAGCTCACCCTTCAATTTTTAATGTACAGTGGCCAATATTACATGCATTTACATGACAAAACCATGGTTATTTAATTTGAATTACCCCGATATCTTATTTTATACTACCCTGACACTAGAGTAATAATTAGCTTCTGATTCGTACTTTGAACGTGCTAAATAACAAGCTAGACTTTGCAGGAAAATATGTAAATTTACATATTTTCCTGCAAAGTCTATTTCGAATAATTCTACATGCTGGAGTTAAGTCCTTTCATATGGTCTGTCATTAACAAATTTTTAAGTAGTCTAAAATTGTTTAAGTAGTTGTGAATACGATGTTCCTTTGTGTATATCTGGACATTTTTTCGTAAAATCTGTAAGAGTGTAAGTAGTAATATGCTCTGAAGATATTCGAGAGTCGTCAGTAATTATCTGCAACATATCTGTTCCAGTGTTTACCCCCACCCCCTTACACACAAACACACACATTATAGCCTTCAAATTCAGAAAAATACTCCGAACCGATAATTATAATTGGATCATTGTTTCCTATACTGTTCTTGTTTTTTTTTCTTTTATCTGCGGTTTCTATTTATTTTATTTTTACAGTGTTTATTTTGTTTTTCTTGTTATTTATGCCTTTTATTAAACATGTTTCTATTTCTTTTGTGTCTATTGCCAAGATTTTGTGAATATTTTAATTGCAAATAATAGTTATCAAAGGTACCAGGATTATGATTTAATACGCCGACGCGCGTTTCGTCTACATAAGACTCATCAGTGACGCTCACATAAAAATAATAAGAAAGCCAAACAGGTACAAAGTTGAAGAGCATTGAGGACCAAAAATTCCAAAAAGTTGTGCCAAATACGGCTAAGGTAATCTATTCCTGGGATAAGAAAATCCTTAGTTTTTCGAAAAATTCAAAATTTTGTAACAGGAAATTTATAAAAATGACCATATAATTGATATTCATGTCAACACCGAAGTGATGACTACTGGGCTGGTGATACCCTCGGGGACGAAACGTCCACCAGCAGTGGCATCGACCCAGTGGTGTAAATAGTTAACAAAGGTACCAGGATTATAATTTAATACGCCGACGCGCGTTTCGTCTACATAAGACTCATCAGTGACGCTCAGATCAAAATAGTTAGAAAGCCAAACAAGTACAAAGTTGAAGAGCATTGAGGACCCAAAATTCCAAAAAGTTGTGCCAAATATGGCTAAGGTAATCTATTCCTCGCTTTAGATCCGGTACATTCCTACAACTACTGTTTTCAGAGACAACTAGATTAACAGAGGTAACCTTATATTGATTTAAGTAAGTGCAATTACTGTCATATGAACAGGGCTTTGTCGAAAACAAACAAATGGAAAATTATAACACTTCTGTTTTGTCGTATAATACCTTATATGTTACATGTATCTGTTGCATCTGTAGTGAGTGTAGTACCGATTTATGTAGCCGGTAATAGGGTGTACTTTCACATAATTCTTTTAGTCCGGTACAAATCTATTGGCATTAACGATCAACCCACTTCCCCGATTATTCATATTTGTTGTAAGATAAAACTATTGACAGTTGAGGTAGAACGGGTAATGAATTGTCGGAGCCATATATATTCGAAGGCAAACAACAGACAAATCTTTGATACGGTTTTTGCATATAAAAGTACAATGTTCCGTGTTAATGCCAATCTTTTACCAAGCTAATTCAGTATGAAGTGAGAATTTTGCTGCTTATGTTCTAATATATATTTTATATTTAACTTGAGCTGCAACTCTTCTGAAACTACAAAACAACATGAAATCTTTATCGGTTTCAACATTGATTTTCTTTTTAACTAATTAAACGTAACTTTATATGTTAATTTCTTACAGTTATGAACACTGTATGTCCTGTCGATATTTAAATTTTGGCATTGTACAAGGTCATGGTTATGTAAATAAGAAGATGTGGTATTAGTGCCAATGAGATAACTCTCCATCCAAGTCACAATGTATACAAAGTTCACAATTATAGGTCAAAGTACGGCCTTCAGCCTTCAGGGGCGTAGCTAGGTATTCTATCAACTGTAGGCACAAATTTCGGCAGGGGGTCTGGGGGGCGAAGCCCCCTGACGGAAACCGGTTTTCAGCATTTTAGTTGCAAAATTTTGTGTGTACATAAATATTAGATTTACTGGTTATTTTATCATTATAATATACATGAACACTCTAAAAAATGTGTTTAGAGCCTAAACACTTTCCTAAACACATTTATGAAACCGATTTTTGACATGTTTTAAATCTAAACATGTTTAATATTTAATGTGCTAACAGCCTAAACGTGTCAAGCTATAAAGTGCTTAGACTGTAAACATGTTTAGCTGTAAAGCGTTTAGACTAGAAACACGTTTAGCTAAAAAGTGCTTAGACTGTAAACATGTTTAGCTGTGAATTGTTGTATCTGGAAACATGTTTAGCTGAGAAGTGTTTTGTCTGGAAACACGTTTAGCTGTGAAGTGTTTTGAATGTAAACATGTTTAGACCATAAAGGGTCGTGAAAAAACATGTTTATCATTTTATTGTGAAAAGCCGTTATATACTTCATTAGGCCCCAATTAAACTAATATTCCGAAAGGCTTGACTGTAAAACGTATGATAGCTCTCAATAAAACAGGTTTTCACTTTTATAAATTTTGACTTAGATGGAGAGTTGTCTCATTGGCACTCATACCACATCTTCTTATATCTATTTCATACCATCACAAAAAGGAGCCAATGCATCAAACTAAGAAACTGGGATTTCCATATCAAATTGAATGTGACCAATACCTTTTCAATCTCAATGAGTTTTTTCTTTAATTCAATTCACGTCATTCGACTATTGCATTTTTTTCTTCATTTCAAATATTCGTAAAACAGTCTAGAACTTTTGAAATGAAATTATCATTATACTAATTCTAGCTTTAAAAACAAAATTACAACATATAAAACAAAGGAATTATGTTATCATTTATTTCCAGTTTATCATTGAACACAATCAAAAATAAATTCATATCAAGGTACATGTACATAATATTGACCAATCTTCTACTTGTACCCCATCCCTACAACAAAACAATTTGAAAATGTCCTGTTTTCATTTTACAGGTCAATAAGAGCTTCTCCTTTCTTAGTACCCAACTGCTGGTCAATGGCCTGAAATTCAGAAAAATATTGATAAGAAACTAAGTAGAATTATTCTAAAAATATAAGAATACGAACTACAACACCAAAAAGTAAAAGCATGATTTAAGATCCAGATAACAACATTAGGACCGTGGTATAAAAACATACATTTACTGATGAATCAATTGATATTTTTAATATAAAACTTCTTTTGATGCTTAATATTATTCATTTGATCAGATATATATTGGCATGTTTAAAATCAAATACACTTTTGATTCTTACCTAGCAGCATATTTGCTACTGTTCTTTATCTCCTCTTTTAGCATGCCAAGACAGATGATGATTTCCTCTGCACTTCTCTCATCTAGAATAAAACAATACATATCAATAAAATTATAAAAAAAATCACAACCGCTTATAACTATTGAAATAAACAAGCATCTCTCTATTTATTTTGAGGAAAAGTTGATTGTGCATATCGGAAGTGCTTACGAAAACAATGAACTCGATATGACACTGGATTTGCGAATGATGCATCTCATCCTGATAAGACTCGGCAGATTCCGCTACCCTTCATGTTCCATTATAATCTGCCGAGGAGTACCGAACGAAAATTATCCTCACAAACTCCTTTCCAAGAACATATATAAATAAAAAAATAAATACAAACTTGCATGATAGAACATTAAACAACTCTTATTATCTATACACAAGATAGTTTGAACACTTAAAGCTCTTACAAGCACTTGTTTCGTGGGATGGTACCCCCTTTTCTCTCCTGAATTGACTATACGGTAGTGTACTTGTAAATAATGCTTATAACTGTCAACAATCATTTAAAATTGGCAGTACAAAATAAAAGACAGTATAATCATAACTCTTTACCTTTCTGAAACAATCAAGTTACGGTCAGTTATGGTCAGAAGTAAACAGCGTGGCCTTTGACTTCGGGTTCTTTGTTTCTTCTTCCCGCTCAAAAATTAGCACGTGATATGAATGCCGTATTCGGCCTAAATGTGTTGTAATTCTAAACGTGTTTAGGAAAGTGTCTAAATATTGAAAGTGCTTAGAATTTAAACACGTTTAGCTTTATTTACTTGACAAAGTAGCTAAACATGTTTAGCACAGCAACATGTTTATTGAAAAGTGCTGAGAGCCAAAACATGTTTATTGCGAAGTGCTGAGAGCCAAAACATGTTTATTTTTTTATGTTTAGAAATTAAACACTTTCCTAAGCACATAAGTCTTGCAACACGTTTAAATTCTAAGCACATTTTACAGTGAAGAAAAGTTCGAAGAATTATTAATAATTTTACAATTACATCTGACTGGTGAATTAAGGCAGTACAATCGGAAATCTAAAACAAAATATTTACAATATGCATTGCCCAGCGTAGATCAGCGTAGCTCTTTAATTAAGCAGTACACCCTGTTTGGTATTTTCTTATATATTCCTTTCTGATTGAGGATAGTTGATAGTACATTTTGACGATCCTTCGTTAAAAAAATTGGCACGTAAACACTGAGACTACTATATAATAATATTATCTTTTGG